CTTCCCATATATAATTCTTTACCTCTGGACCATTCCGGAACTCCTCGTGACGTCCGGGATCTCATCCGGGACTCCGAACAACTTTCGGTTTGCTGCATACTAATATCTTTACAACCCTAGCGTCACCGAACCTTAAGTGTGTAGACCCTACGGGTTCGGGAGACATGTAGACATGACCGAGACGGCTCTCCGGTCAATAAGCAACAGCGGGATCTGGATACCCATGTTGGCTCCCACATACTCCTCGATGATCTCATCGGAAGAACCACGATGTCGAGGATTTAAGCAACCTCGTATACAATTCCCTTTGTCAATCGGTACGTTACTTGTCCGAGATTCGATCGTCGGTATCCCAATACCTTTTTCAATCTCGTTATCGACAAGTCACTTTACTCGTACCGTAATGCATGATCCCGTGACCAGACACTTGGTCACTTTGAGCTCATTATGATGATGCATTACCGAGTGGGCCCAGAGATACCTCTCCGTCATACGGAGTGACAAATCCCAGTCTCGATCCGTGTCAACCCAACAGACACTTTCGGAGATACCTGTAGTGCACCTTTATAGTCACCCAGTTACGTTGTGACGTTTGGTACACCCAAAGCACTCCTACGGTATCCGGGAGTTACACGATCTCATGGTCTAAGGAAAGGATACTTGACATTGGAAAAGCTCTAGCAAACGAACTACACGATCTTGTGCTATGCTTAGGATTGGGTCTTGTCCATCACATCATTCTCCTAATGATGTGATCCCGTTATCAATGACATCCAATGTCCATAGTCAGGAAACCATGACTATCTGTTGATCAACGAGCTAGTCAACTAGAGGCTCACTAGGGACATGTTGTGGTCTATGTATTCACACGTGTATTACGATTTCCGGATAATACAATTATAGCATGAATAAAAGACAATTATCATGAACAAGGAAATATAATAATAATCCTTTTATTATTGCCTCTAGGGCATATTTCCAACAATGGACACTTCCAAGAATTCGAGTAGAAGGTATTACATAATTAAAGTTTTTTTTTCATAACTTGTTGACCAAGGTACTGCTTATGATGTATTATTAGACCTTATATGTTCTATGCACTTGTTCCTCAGGAAGAGAAGAAGATACGAAATGAACTGAAAAAGAGGATGGAACTAGAGAGAATGGCTGCATGGAAAACTCAATTAGAAGAGTTTGAAAGTGGTCACCTCCCTTTCATGTGCTTGCAGTATAAAGATAAAGATTCAGTTCACCACACGATTCCTGCTGTTTTTATTGGAAGCCTCAACTCGTTTGATGATCAAAAGATTGCCAGCATGGTGAGTAAGTTTCATATTGCATGAGAGTTGTAGAGGGAAAAGCTACATGGTTTTACTTCTGGGATTGTTTACGTCTCTTATTGTGCACATTCTTGTCAAATGACAAGCATTAATTATCGGATACTGCAAAAATGAAAGTTCTGAACCGCAGTAGTTTACATCCTTTGCTGTTTGTATATCTACATTTTTGTTAGACATGCCCCAAGATTTGAATTATTGAAGTTTTTCTCTATCGCTTTGTCTTTGTGATTACTGTCCTAGTGTCCTCCTCGTGTGTTCTTATGAAAATAACTATTGCAGCTGGAAGATGATTCTATTGGAACAGGCAAGCAAGAAGTTGATAGTGAGGGACAACTTCTTTGTCCATCATACTATGTTGCTTTGAGTTCAGATAATTCATGGTATCTATTCACAGAAAAATGGATAAAAACTGTTTACCAGACAGGTCTACCTGCTGTTCCTTCAGTGGAGGGTGGGCCACTCCCTAGAGAAACCCTGAAGCAGCTCCTTTTGCGTGAAGACATGATCTGGGATAAAATCGCAAAATCAGAACATGGTTTTTTGTTATGCATGGATGGATCCCTAGACACATGGTCGTGGAGTCTAAATGTTCCTGTGCTTAATAGCCTCTCAGAAGACGATAAGGTTTGCACTTACTCCTTGGCTTTCCCAATATTTCGTGCTTTTATTGTAAATTAGAGTTATCTGTTACTACCTGCGATCCATAATAAGTGTCGCAGTTTTGAACTAACCCCAGTTCAAAACTGCGACACTTATTTTGGATCTTTAAAGGATATTGATTTCTCACAAGATTCACTAAGTGTTCATTTCTCCCATCTGTGTCTTGTGTCTTGTAATAGGTTGTTTAATTATAGTGGTCGGACCATAGGACTGCAGGAGTAATATACCGTACTACTGACAGTTCTTTTCATCCGTGTCTTCTAATAGTTTGGTCAATCATGTCGTCAGACCAGTAATACACTGCGCTACTGAGTACTGACAGTTCCTTCTAATGTTGATAATAACCAACCTAACATGCACATCCTCATTTCATATATTATCATGTAATGCTATTCAAATCGTGTCTGGTACGAAGTTACGAATTATCATTTGCAACTTGCAGTTCTGTTGACATTTTGGCATGCAGTTCTGTTGACGTTTTGGAATTGAACTAGCAACTTGCAGTTCTCTTGACTTTTTGGCATTGAACTTTTTTTTGTTACTCTTTCTTCATAGGTGGAACGATTCTCCCAGGAACATCAGACCGCTGTAGAATCTCACAAGCAACAGAGGAGGAAGGTTTCACAATTGAAGAAAACAATCAGGAGTACTAAGGGTTTTAGAGAATTTCAAAAGATCATTGACATGAGAAATTTTACAAAAGAAAAGATTGAGCGTTTGGAAGCTAGATCCCGTCGTTTGACTAGACGCATAATGCAAATTGAACCAACTGGTTGGAAAGAATTTTTGCAGGTAACCATGTATGCTTTTATATGTTTGATGAACCTATCTAATTGAACTATATAGTTGTTGAAAGCACTCTAGTATTTTTTAATCGTATCATTATATGTATAGTGTACATTGAGTTAGTTGCTTCCACTTCATGCATTAAGTAACTTCGTAACCGAACCACATGAGACCGAAAATATATTGAAGTCACTGTAGCATCTCCTGTTGCTTCCTACCGTGCCCCCATTCAGCCCCAGCCAGTGCTCCTTGACCACCTTTCATTCTTCCGCCACACTAATTAAACACTCCCTCTGAACCATCTCATGTGTAATATTTTGTTGAAATATATGCTGTTTCTCTATAAAATGCCATGATTTGGTGAAGGCATTCAGGATCTTGTGCTTAACCAATATGATTGCGCAATACTAAGTTACAGCCTTATGCTTGTCATTGGTAAGTACTAAGTAGTTTCTCAGACATTAATTTTCGATTCTCTAAATGGATGTTTACCAGATTAGCAATGTCATACAAGAGGCTAGAGTGTTAGATATCAACACCCAAGTAATCTATCCTTTGGGTGAAACGGCCGCAGCCATACGAGGGGAAAACGAACTCTGGCTTGCTATGGTTCTTAGGAACAAGGTCCTTTTGGATCTGAAGCCATCTCAACTGGCAGCAGTGTGTGGAAGCTTAGTGTCAGAAGGGATCAAACTTCGTCCTTGGAAGAATAGCAGGTACACATTTCAACAACGGCACCTATTTCTCATGCTTACAACTTGCTATGGCTATTGGCTTGTAAAGCCTCCTGTTATGTCATGTTTATACCTGTACAGCTGTCCCTATCCTTCATGTTGTGGCCCGAATCTGTGGAAATACACTGGCATATAATATAAATCAATTGGACCATCAATCCCACGTGCTGTGGTAAATTGCGGACCAGCATGTTTGCTGCCCCAAATAAGCTTTGTATTGATGCAGTTAATATTTAGACGAGTACATGAACTGAACTCTTGAATGGTTGATCAATATGCTTCATCATCAATAAAAAGTGTTTATCCAATCAGTTGTCACCATATATTGCCGTGGCCTATTGAGTGACAAATATGTTCATACCATAGAAGGTGCAGCCAGTAATATTTTGTGTTATCATTTACTTAAAGTGATACCATAGAAGGTGCAGCCAGTAATATTTTCTGTTATCATTTACTTAAAGTGAGAACTCCAGTGTATTCAATCTCCAGCCCAAAATTTGTCAACGTTTTTGAATAAAAATACTTCCTCATGCGTTTTCTTAGGCATCATGGTGATTGTTTAAAATTTTGCAGTTTTGTGTATGAACCGTCCTCAGTTGTTGTTGGTGTCATAAACTATTTAGAAGAGCAGAGAAACTCACTCCTCGATCTCCAAGAGAAACATGGCGTAAAGGTTTGGCACATGATGTTCCTATTCTCCTGTGTCTTTAAATCAATAGTTGCCCTCGTTACTTTTCTCATCTACTTGCTTCTTGGCATGCAGATACCTTGCGAAATAGATACCCAGTTTGCTGGAATGGTTGAAGCCTGGGCGTCAGGGTTGACATGGAGAGAGATAATGATGGACTCTGCAATGGATGATGGAGATTTAGCCCGTCTGCTCAGACGAACGATGGATTTACTAGCTCAGGTATGTTATTGGGTTTGCAGATTCTGTATATCTCCAACGTGTTGTTAATTTTGTTGTCAATTTTCATGGTAATATCGTACTTGATTTGTTTTGTTCCTTAAGTTCGATGATATGTTAATACTGTTCCTTTTTTACTTTTCGGGCAATCTTAGAGTCCTTAAGCTCGATTATACTATACTATGATCTGCATTACATTGCATAATACTCACTGTGTTATATTCCAGATTCCAAAATTGCCAGATATAGATCCGGTTCTCCAGAAAAATGCACAAATTGCTTGCAGCGTCATGGATCGAGTACCGCTAAGTGAGCTTGCTGGCTGAAAGCCTGTAAATTGTAAGTACCGCGTTGGTCATTTGTTGTAGGTAGGCAATTCTTTGTTGTACCATGGACAAATGGTTACCAGTTAGCTAAAATATCCTTTTTTTTATGGTTTCAAATTCAATTTCTGGATATATGTAACTGTATCTACTGTTGTCGACATGGATCTGTAAAGAACTGGAGAAAAGAACCAACACAAACAATTTCATTATCACTACTTGAATCTCCATTTACACCTCTCCATACATTCTATTCCTCATCACTACTTGAATCAGAGTCTGCGCCGTCCTTCATAAAGTGCGCTGGCAAGTTTGGGAATCTTGGCATGACCCTCTTCCTTTTGCTATCTGCTTCTTCTGGTGGCGGTTTCTGAGCCGGTGGTGCTGCCGCCGTACCACCAGCTACCGCCTTAGCACCATCAGCTGCCCCCTTAGCTGCTTCAGCTGGCCCCTTAGCGGCCGTCGAGGCCGCCGCCGCCGATGTTGGCTGTGATGATGGGGGTGGTGGCTTCTTTTGCTGCTGCAGTCTTCTCTTGATGTCCACACATGCCTGGTCCACCATCCCCAGGAAGTCCCTCACAATGACGAACAACTGGAGGGGATGCGCGTTCCTGTCCTTGGTAGCACCTGCATGGTAGTACTCCGTTGTCCGTTGAACCAGATCAAGCACTTTCTCCTGCACTCCACTCAGTGCCTTCAGCTCTTGCTCCGCAGCATTGACAAAGCCTCTCAGCCCTCTTGAGAATCCATCGTCCCCGCAGGTCTCCAGGAGCTTCTTGATGCCCGCGAGTCGGTTGCCTAAGATTGCGCATTCATTGGCAGTCACATCATAGTCCACAGTCGCAGCCTTCTTCACATTGGCAAACTCACTGCTGAGACCTCCAACAATGGGCAATCCTAGGTTCAAGTACTCGTTCTGCCTGTCCTCGCGTGATGGCCCCTGGCCAGCGGAGCCAGCTGCTGAAATTCCGCCATCGACGCTGCTCTTGGCGAGGCTACCAGAGCGACGGATGGTGTAGTTGCGGTTGATGGCAAGGCGTTTCCCCTCTGCGCGCACAACTTCCTCGATGACAAAGTGCAGCAGCGTGGTGCCTCCATCAGTGCTCTTCACGTCATTGAGTTTGCGCAGTGCTGTGAGGTTGAAGGCCTGCGCGTTCCCCCGCGCCGTGCCGGCATTCATCCTGTTCCCTGCCTTGAGCACCGCCTCAAGCAGCTTAAAGAAGAGCCCCTTCGTCCTCAGCTCCTGGCTTGCCATCTCCAAAGTCTGGAGCGATTGCTTGAGCACAGCAATCTCAGAAGCGTAGTTTACCTTGAATAGCAGCGCATTGACACGGGCAAACGGGTTGGGCACGTCGAGCAGGAGCCGGAGAAGGAAGGCCTCTGCGGGGGCAAGCCTGTCGGGGTTTCCAGAGAACTTCAGGATGGTGGCCTCTTCCTCCTTGGAGATGCTGAGCCTGGACAGCTTCTCGAGGACGTCAGTGCCGAGCTCGGTGTTGCCATCACGCAGCGCGTCGATGATCTCGTCCCGCCCCACAGTGAGGGACCGGAGGATGATGGAGATGTTGTGAGACTTGCGTGGCTCAATCAGGAATATCTGCTCCTCCGAGGTCGAGCGCCCGAGGCCGCTCGAGGAGTCCTTGGCGTCCGCGGATTTCGTCTTGCGGTTCACCGCCGCCGTGCCGAACAGGGCCTCGATGGTGCCTTCATCCAAGCTGCAAACACGTCAGAGTAACAACACCGTTAGAAGTAGAACGTTTTGAATCGATCATACACAAAGCTGAAAAAAAACAGCTTCTGAAACACTAGCTAGCCTAATATGGTTTCCAATCATGTATCCAATCGTTCACAGCCGTGTTCTTTCAGCTACGATTCTCTTATTATCACTAGCTATGATTCTCTTATGACTGGAGGGGTGACGTGGCAGTGCTAATTATGTCCAGCGCAAGCTGACGAAGAAAAGTGGGTGCCATCTTGACCGAGTTCAAGGCGTCCACATCCTGTTCGTAAATCCTCCCATCATTGCTTTGGAACTGGGGCTACAGCGACCCGTCCCCATCCAGATTCTTACGAGATCAAACAAGCTAACAGTAGTACAAATCCATAATTATACGGTTGATTCTGTCAAGGTAGCAAAGCAAATGCGAATGAACTCCATGCTCGTTCAACGAAAAGCACGCTGCGCCAACAACTCGTATACCCGTTCCACGAAGGTGAAGCCCCCCGTACTCGTTCTACGAAGCCCCCATGCTCGCCCGGTAGCCATCTGTCCTTGTTCACAGGTCCAGAATCCAGAGAGAACATACGCGCACAAAAAGGCACCGTGATTTGGGTTGGGCACCCTTTCGAGGATGCTGCGACGTGAGTCCACCGGAAAAGCGACATGCTGGTTTCCTGATCCCATCGAAGAATCCGCCTTTGATTATGGCTGCCACGCCAAAAGGGCCTTTTTTTCTACTGAACCTTTGCACATTCAGGGCCTTTTCACTGCGCTTAATTCAGTTTCTACGACACTCCAGCTAAAAATGCTAGTCGAGCGACCTTCAGAAATCAATAATGCTAGTGGGATTTACTCGGTTCATGCTTGGTTTGGTCTGTATGACGGTCTCTCCTGTTTGCAGTGCAACTTTGTACTGCAAGGTTCAGGGGTCCATGCATGACTCACTGTTCATACCGTGGCTAGCACTACATTCCTATGCAATCAGTAATCACCGGTACCCAGTTCGTACCAGGGAGCGGCAATGCGCAAGAAGCGCCGAGAGAATTAAACGTCTATATACGGGCTACGGCAAATGGTGAACTGAAATGAGAAGCGGGGGGCGATTTAATTCAGGAGCTGCTTACTTGAATGAGCCGCCGGTGAGCTTGTCCCACACCATGGAGTGGTCGGTGGCCGCCACGTTGACCTTGTCCCAATGCAGCGGCTTCAGCTTCGCCAGGTCGTCTGCCCCGGATGGCCCGCCCGGGGCCGCCGGTGGCCTCGAGGACGACGCCCAGGCAGGCGGCGGAGGCGGCCCTCCCTTCTTGCCTCCGGGTGGTGGTGGTGGCGGCGGCCCTCCCTTCTTTCCTCCGGGAGGCGGTGGCGGAGGTGGGCCTCTGGGCGCTGGTGGCGGCGGTGGGCCTTTGGGTGCTGGTGGAGGAGGTGGGCCCTTAGGCGCTGGTGGCGGCGGTGGGCCTTTAGGAGCTTGTGGTGGCGACGTGGTGGCCATTGGTGGCGGTGGTGGTGGCGGGCTTCCTCTTCCTGGCGGCCGCGCCAGCGATGCCGATGCCGATGCGCTTGGTGGGGCGGCAGGGGCTGGTGGCGGGGACGGGCGGGGGACAGAGCTGACAGCGATCGCCGCCGCCGCCGGCCGCGCGTAGGCCTCGGGGGCAGCGACGGAGAAGGACGAGCTGGAGCTGGCGCTGGGCGGGCGCGGCGACTCGTCGAACACGGCGGAGGAGGAGTCCAGGGAGCCCCTGGGAATGAGCGGTTCCTGATCTATCTTGCCCTTCCTCGGCCGCGGCGGGGACGGGCCCGGCGACGCCTGCGCCTCCGGCCACCTCTCCGCGCGGCTCTGCCGGGGCGGTGGCTGCGGCGGGCGCCAGCCCCCCGCGGGCTTCCTGCCCCTGCCGCCGCCCTCGCCCTCCTTCTCGAACTCCCGCCAGTATATCGCGTCGAGCCCGTTCTCGTCCACCATGCCGCCGCGGGGCGGCCGCTTCGGCGCCCTCTCCGGCAGCTTGCCGGCGAGCGCGGCGTCCTGGCGCCCGTTCCCGCCGGCGGCGTGCGTCAGCTCCTTCTTCTTGCCGTGGCGGAGGAAGAGGAAGAAGGCGAGGCCGCAGAGCGCGAAGCTGCTCAGCGCCGTGCTCACCACGGCCACGGCGATGTCGCTGCGCTTCGTGGAGGAGGACGACGAGGAGGCGGACTGCGGGGGCAGGATGGCCGGGCCGGTGGGGGACGGCGACGGGGGCACGATCGGCGGCGGCGGGACGGCGACTGCGGGGGTGCGCGTGGAGGGGAAGCGGGTCTGGACGTTGCGCTGCTGCCCGGCGGCGAGGGGGCAGACGACGGCGGCGGCGAGGAGGAGGAGGAGGGGGAGGAGAGGGGACGGAGCCATCGCCGTGGCCAGGGGCGGGGAAATGGAAACGCGACGGACGGAGGTGAGGGACGGAGGTGAGGATTGACTTGCGGAATCGATATTCTGCTCTGGCTGGTGCCGCAGTTGTTGCTGCCTGCCCGCCTTGCCGGCGGCTGCGTTGTTGTTGTGCTGGGAACGTTGTGCTGTGGTGTGCTGGGTTGGGACTTTGTGGTGCGTTTTTGACTTGTTCGGGTTGGGTTGGGTTTTGTTTACTGGGTCCGGTCGAACGGCACGATGGTTGGGTGCTTGGGTCCGGGAAACGAAGCGAAGACGCGTTGAGTGGGCAAGGGAGGGAGCCAACCAAAAACAAACCGCGCGGGCGCCGCGTCGGGTGCTGCCGTCGCCGTTGCGCTGCATGCGCTGCGCTGCGCTGCTGATCTACTACTCTTTCGTTGGCTGTTTGCTTTGGACGCGGAACGGACGCAGCGGGCTCCGTGATTCCTGACGATTGACCACCCGCCCACATCGCTAGCGGACCACCCCCCACACGCGTTCCAAATGCACTTTGTGCTGCAGAGAGTATGAACGCTCTGCGGTGCTTGGCTCAATCTTCTGCCCGAGTGGTGGGGTTTCTCTTGGTTTTGGACGCGCGTGCCTGATGGACGGCCGGGCGCGGGCGGGATTCCCGAGACCCGAGCTCGCGAGACCGCGATCTGGAATTTGGCTGGCAGGCAGACGAGACGACGCCAGCCGCAGTGAGCTGGTGGATCGTCGTCGCCCAGTGCCGCAACGAGGCCAAACGTCCAAAAACCTGTACTGCAGGCCGAACGTTGGCTTCGTGACCGTAATTACCGAATGGGGTTTTAGGAGAGTCACGCGGAAGAGGGTGTTTTTGCCCTTGCTCGGTTGCTCCGCTGTGCTCTCCAGAGCGTTCCGGTACTCTGGGCGCGCCGTAGGTGCTGCGTGTGTATGCCATTCGCCCGTGGTCTAGCGCGCCGCGCGGACGTTGACGTGCGGTCTCAATCTGCGGACTGCTGTCCCTCCCCCTTACTTTAGGTTTTCAGCTAGGGCGGCGACCATGCATTTCCGCAGCAAGATTTCCCGAGTGATGGAGAAAAAGAAATTATTATATTAGAGCATCTACAACCACAAGTAACAAATTTCAGTCCCCAAATGCTCGAAAGCGTCCGTGGGTGGTGACCCGCAAATTTTCTCCTCCACAACCGGATGCATCTAAAACCGAATACTCAAATCCATATTACCTCATGCAACGTATGTACGTAGCTAAACACATGTCATCATGCTACCAAAAATTGACATGCCCTACCAACTATGAACGAAACGATGACCGGAGAAGTTCATCATGACCGGCCTTGCCCTTCCCTTCGTCCTTGCGGCAGTAGCGGTCAAAGACGTAGAATTGATCGAGACGGAGCTGTCCGATCCGTCGCCGCCCTCGTCTTTCTCCTCCTTGGAGGGCAGTCTAACCATGGCGCGGACCGCCCGACTTTGGTCTTTTGCCAGCGCCTTGACCGCCCTCCTTCGCTACTTCTTGGCTATGAGGGCACGAAGGGATTCCTCCAATGCCGCCTCGCGGGCTGCCGAAGCCACCTCTGCATCTCTATCTGTCGTGCCCGCCTACGCCACGAGGGGTGCGGCAGTCGCCTCGCGCGGCAGGCATGCCACCCGCCTTGTCCGGATTAACGTCTCATCGTGAAGGCGCAAATGGCCTTCGTTTCGGCGCCCAACACTGCGAAGACGAGTGACGGGGCCACGACCCGGGGTACCTGACAAGGCCAGACCAGACAAGGACATGGGCCGACGACCAGGGCCCAGACGGCAGAAGGAACCGACCTTGCCACTGTTTGTTCTCTAAGGCATGGGCAGCGGCGGCGAAGATCGCATCAGGCCACCCTATAAACCCTGGACCTCCCTGTCTATATAAAGGGAGGTCTGGTATCCTCTAGATCGTCCAATCTTAGATCCAGAAACTCTTGGTAGCAATCTCATACACCATTGTAATCCTCTGCATGAGGTATCCCCTCACCATGAATAACAAGAATAAGCAGGATGTAGGGTATTAATTTTCGGAGGCCCGAACCTGGGTAAATTATGTGTGCAGACTCCGTGTCGATACTTCCGACCTCGTCATGAACCTTACCGAGGGATCTGACAGTATTTCACTCCGCCCGTTAACGCGCCAGGCACGGGCGGCGTCGGCCGGAGACCTAACCCGGTGCGGAGAGTCAAAAGAAGCCCACAAGTTCTCGCCAGGCCAGACCTTCACATTCTGCTCCTTCGAGCTGGTTGTTGACTGTTTGAGACGACTCTTCGACGTCTCTCCCCCACCCTTCATCGACTACACGCGTTTCAAAACGATCGAGTTCGTTTATGATGAGCAAGGAAAGGCCGTGGGAACCTACCTTGGCCCGAACCACAATGCGTGGGAACATCAACGGGGCACTGCACGGCGGGAGAAGGCTAGGGCTTCGCCAGACCGCCCACGAGACCTCTGTGAACATGATATTCACAACGACAGACACATGCCGAAACTAGAAGCTCGCGCGACTTGCGATCTATATGGTGGAAAGGCGACTAGCAAGCGGCTTGCATGGTCCAAGGAAACGGTGACCTTCCGCGTCAGAGACCACCCGGAGAACGTCATCCATCC